GTGGGGGTACGCAATTTGCGTCCACCTCAAGAGGCTGTCTCTTATACACATCTAGATGTGTATAAGAGACAGGGGGGGGTATTGGGGGGTATTGGGGGTATAGGTGTGATATAGGGGGCATTGGTGGGGTATAATGAGGGTGTTGGGGGCGGTTTGGGGGTGTTGGGGGGGTGTATGGGGGTATTGGGGGTATTGAGGGACGCTATGGGGTTGTTGGTGGTGTTATTAGGGGTTCTGGAACCCCCAAAAAAAATATTTTATTATTATTTTTACTTCTTTTTGCGGGGTGCCGACCAGCCGATCGGTCGGCGGGTCGGCAGCCAACCAGTCAAGGGCCGCCGACCATCAGGCGGTGCAACACTGCATCCATTCCAAAACAGGCTTGTTTTGTACAATGGTTAGCTCAACTTGGCTGTAAAACCGGGAGCCCATGAGAGAGAAGAGAAAGACTTCCCACAATGATAGCAACAGCATAAGACTCGTTGGACAAAAGAGTCAAACCTCAAATGTTCCAAGAAAGCCAAAAGGGGATATAAATCATATAATAGATATCCATACTCCTTCCCCTGCCCCGACCAGTCTTTCACGTGTCAACACTACAGCCCAGAATCAACATCTTGTATGTTGAGGAACTACTGGTAGTTTTAGCACCTCCTGGAAAAAAGACTTTTGTTAACTTCAGTTGACTTATACAGGCACTGCGCCACACACGAGAAAAAAAAAAAAAAAAAAAAAACGAAAGGAAAGAAAGAGGAGAAACATAGAGCAGATAAATAAAGCTCAGCTTATTGAATCCAACAGTCCCTGCCCCTTTGCCTGCCCACAGTTTCGCAATGTGGCAATCAATGAAAAGCGTGACAATTGGATGCTTGAATGCATGTCGGCCACAAAAATGGGATAAAGCCATTTGGATGCTCGAATGCATGTCAGCCACAGTTCATGATGCATGGAATGACTTGTGTAAACCCAGAACGGGGATAACCCATCCTATCAGCCAAACGTGACGAGGCTATATTTTGCCCACACGGCGCACGCCATCCCAATTGACATCCAGCAGTAGCATTGCTAACCGACAATGCATACCCAGAATGTCAGTGTCCTGATACCCCCACTCGAATCCCTTCTGAATGACCATCACTAATCACTGCAGCCATATCCAGCCTTTGCGCATGCTTCCAATCCAAGGTCCAACAGCAGGCATGTCGCCAAATGTCAACTCCCACTACAGCTACCACTAGAAGGGGATAACCCATCCTATCAGCCAAACGGGATACGGCTATATTTTGCCCACACGCCGCCATTCCAATTGACATCCAGCAGCAGCATTGCTCACCGACAATGCATACCCAGAATGTCAGTGTCCTGATACCCGCACTCAAATCCCTTCTGAATGACCAACGCTAATCACTGCACCCATAGCCAGCCTCTGCGCATGCTTCCAATCCAAGGTCCAACAGCAGGCACGTCACCACATGTAAACTCCCACTACACTACTGCTATGACATGCTGCTGCTGCTGCTGCTACTCCTGTTGCTGACTACTTCTTTCTTTACTGCTACTGCCTGCATCTGTTGCTACTGCTACTGTTCTTCTCGTACTGCTGCTACTGCTGCTACTACTGGTGCTGCTGCAGCTGCTGTTACTGTTACCACTGCCGCTGCTGCTGTTACTGCTGCCGCTGTTACCGTGGCACCACCACAACCACCACCACCATCACCACCACATCCTACTACCATTACTACTATTATTACATGCTGCTGTGGCTGCTACAACTACTATACTACTACTACTATTACTACCACCAGTATTACTGCCGCTGCAGCTGGTGGTGCTGCTAGTGTTACTAATTCCATTGTTGCCACTTCTGCTACTGCTGATAATAGTCACAACAAAAAGAAAAAGAATATATGTCAAACAGAATTATGCCCGGTAAACCGCCGGCAGAGAGGGAGAAGAGGACCACAAACGAGGGGCTGTGACAAACTGTTTTGTCGGAGTTTCACCGACTCATCATATATACATATATATATTGCCATGTATCTTGGGCCTCGCTCCGCTACTCTTGACATCCACAAAGGGCAAAGACTATGGTGGTGTACCTTTCCATGCTATAGCGGAAGATTCATTCTCATTGCAATGTTTTCTTTTTTTTGTTTTCCCGCTCTTGGCCCCCTGTCTGTGGCAGGCATCCGATGTTTACCATAAAGCACCAGTTCCTCGCCCACCTATTGGAGCTGAGCCTGAAAATCCCCCCCACACCTTATTTTGGTTGGTGCCGCCATCCACTTTGGTGCAGCACCCCGAGCCCCGAAAGTTGCGGCCGTAAACAAACTGCATATTCGTTTGTCAAGCAGGGAAAGGTACTGGTGGTTTTAACGGATTATGAGTTTTCTTTAAAAGGACTTTAAAAGGACCAAAACAGGAAGGACCGGAGCACCCCCCAAAGAAAAAGAAACGGGAGCTCGCATGTATTCTTGGGGGAAAAACTAAAAAGAAACTTACCTCACGCATCCGTCGCAAAGCTGTCTTAAAATTCTCAACCCGGTCACCCACCTGTTCAAGTCAGGGGAAAAAGAAAAGAGGCATTCAAACAATTCAGTCAATTTACCTGTGGCCATCAGGGGGGGGGGGGAAGTCGCCACACCAGACTGCCCCATTCCAAAGACATGAAGAAAACGAAAAAAAAATTAGTAAATTACAAAAAAAAAAAGGCAGAAAGAGGCACTATTCTTTTTGCCGGACTTTCCATCAATCGTAAGAAAGAGAACAAAAATTAAAAAACCAACTGCTCAGCGCGACCCAGGCCCAATTCCCACTTACACTGATTCTCAATTTTTGACCAGAGATTAGGAAGATCAACAGCCAGAAACAAAGAAGCAGCGTTAGTGGGAGTTGGCCCCTTGGAGGGGACAGAAGTGACGAATAGTTGACCACGATCCAGGCTTTTCCAGATGTAAAGAAACAATAAAAAAAACCGGGAAAAAAGAGACATCTGAGCCACAATCACAGAGTCTACCTGGAATTCCCAAGAACGAAGACTCCTGGGGCGAGGTCCTACTAGCAAAGAGGATTGGATTTGGAGCCTTAAACCACAAGTACACCCGCACCTGATTTTAACGAACCTGAATTTCACTGCGCACCGAGTTTTGCCGAGCCTGGGTCCCATTGTATTTTCTTTTCTCGTACTCCTCCCAAACGAACAACATGAAAAAGAAAAAAGAACCAAAAAAAAAAAAACGCAACAACGCTATGGACAAGAAAGCAGTTGGATACAGAATCAGGGGTCAGTGTGAGAGTATGCCCTCAGTGAGGGCGTTTACAGCTCCGCGTCCATTACGGACGTAACTTTCAGCAATGAAAAGCAAAAAAAAAACAACAACAACAACATGGACGTGAAACCGGTTAAGGTCAGGCGGCCAATAAGACACTAACCCCACCCCCGCGTCCGGGGGGACGCGTGGATGAGCGCATACATAAATAAAATAAGCTGCCTGTTTTGTTGTGGCGGTTGCGTTGACTCTTTTGGGTGAGTTGCATTTTCTTAGCTCAGCTGGATAGAGCAACAACCTTCTAAGTTGAAGGTCACAGGTTCAAATCCTGTAGGATGCTGAATTCTTCGGGAGAGTGGCCGAGTGGTTAAAAGCGACAGACTTTAAATCTGTTGAAGGTTATATTTCTACGTAGGTTCGAATCCTGCCTCTCCCACTTCGTGGCCTTCATACATTCATGAATTACATGTAATGTACTTGTGGGGGCGAAAGTCTAGGATGGATCTATTCTATTATTATCTGATGGTAATTCTCTATGTCTACTCTTCGTTGCTAATTTCATTATGTATGATATTAATCCATATAGAATTGGACACTAAAGAAAAGGCTCGAGTCGAGTGAAGAGTGATATAGGTAATGAAATTAATAAGARATTAAATTCATTTATTGAATATAGGGTAGCCTGCTATTCATTCATTCCGCCGATTAGGCGAGGCTACGGYGCCTTTCTTTCTTTTTCTTTTCTTTTTTTGTTTGTTTCTTTTCTCTAATCTAAGGCGCCTCTTTTTTAGGCGCCTTTCTTAAGCGGAAATGG